TCGCACTAAAAGTGCGGGGTTTGTTGTTTATTTTTAGGACAAAACAAGCGCTGAGCTTGCCCCAATTCCAATCGAATCTGTGATGGGCGGAACAAATTAATTAAATTAAACATGACCCCATGCCACTTGATTATATTGCATTACTTACTGTTGAGACACACACCAATTAAGTATGCTATACGTTGTCTCTACTCATCCCCATCCAAACAACTTTCCGGAGTTCATGCCACCACCTCACATGCATGCCTATTCTACCTTTTTATTGACTTCAACAACGTTCAATGCTCCGCCCAATTCTTATCAACGTGTATCGTTGCAAAACATCTCTACCACGTTTATAGGGACGGATTTGTTGTGTGTTAAGCGTGTTTGAATGGACATGAACGTTGGATATAAACGACTAGAACGTTGGCCATCAATTCGTCCAAAAACTGTCCATTAAGGGTGAAGAACATTGGGCATTCATTGTTGTAACGCTTCACCAACATCCTGCAAGTGACTATTGAACTGCGAGTAGCAGCCTGTCAGCGGGCTGGTTCTGGAGCAAAGCAAAAAATAGGAACATTACGGGAAGAACAAAAAACTAAATCGTATCTTTGGACGGCATTCGTGTTCACAAGTCACCCGCGCACGCAAGCCCCGAATTTTGTTCTCCATTTTTGGGATTTGATTAGCACCCCCTGCGCGTGAAGAGAGATTTTCCACCTAAGAATCTTAATTCCTTCAAAGAGGGTGTCCTTTATAAAGGGTGAAAATCCCTTGGGTTTTCCGGTGTGGGATAAATCACACTAGAAACCCATTATTTTCCTAGTTTTCTCTATTTTAACGAGTGAACTTCGAGAATCAATTTCTCATTCACCCGCTATCCGTTATGAGTGTATCATAAATCGAATCGATCGAAGCCCTTAACAAGGAGAATCGAAAACCACTTTGATCCGACACAAATCGGAAGTGGACCTCACTCAAAATACTGCCCAAAATTGACCATTTAATGCAATTTTAACACATTTCTACACCACTATTTACCAAAACAGTCTCTAGCTTATACATTTATCAACAAGTACATGCATTTTATGATTATATCATTGATACATGTAGGTACTTCTTAATGTTACTCCACACACACATATATATACTGTATGTACGTACGTATTTTTATAGCTAGAAATAATATAATTAATCGAGCATTAACATATATAGCGACCTTCATAATATTTCTTGTACCAATTAACATGTATGATAACACCTGAAACTACATAAAACTTTTTGTTTTGCTATGGTAAGTAGTGGTAACGACGTACAGTGCGCGCAAAGCCGGAGCTTAAAATTTCACTATTTTTTACTGTCTATAAATATTTATACATATGTACGTGTATATAATATATACGTACATATGTATTTTTCTCTTGATGGGCTGACGCCCCCGCGCTGCCAGCCTCCCCCTGTCTCCACCCTGCTACGAGTATATATATATCTCATTTCTTTTTATTTTTTAAAATCCTTAGACATGCTATTGTTAAAATTATTTGGTGGAAATATGTCGTTATATATAGAGTCCGTTTGGTAACACTAAAATTGGCTGAATTGGCTGATTCTGCTGAAACTTATGAAGTTCTGTCTGAAGTGGCTGTATTGGCTTATTCTGCTGATTCATAGAAAAATTATATTTAAAATATTTGTTGTTAATAAATTAAATAAAAAATTATATGAAAAATAGCTAAAATGATCCTCTACAGTAACTTCAGCCAATACAGCCAGAAAAGTAACTTCAACCTTACTTTTTCTGCTTATTACAAAGTTCAGCGCGTGAAATCAAAAGTTACGTGTTTGATAAAAAAGCTGGCTGATAAGCCTGATAAGCCGAAAAAGGGAGTCACCAAACGGGCTCAAAAAATAGTGTAATGGTGTGTGTATGTGTGTGTGAGAGATCAGAGATCATCTTGTCGATGTATAATCGTGTGAAAAGTATTTTATTATACAATTGTGTGTTTGTCCGTTAATAATACACATGATTTGTGTTTAATTAGTGTAAATTATATTAAGAGTTGTAAATACATGTGACCAATGTGTAAGCATTATATAGTTGTTGATACAAATATTTTAGTTTAATTTTGGTGTAAATATTACTCTCTCCGTCTCATAAAATAGTTCTCGTATTGACTTGGATCGGAGTTTAAGAAAGTGGGAAAAAGTGAAAATGTATGGGTTTGTATGTGAGCCACACAAAACTTTTCAAAAATGGAAATGAGAACTACTTTTTTGGACGACCAGAAAAGGAAACTTGGAACTATTTTGCGGGACGGATGGAGGATTATAGTTAATGTAATCTACATGTCAAAATGTGTCAATGTAACGTGTTTTTGTATTCCTCCATAATGCAAAATGACGAACTTAGTTGGATTTATAATTTTGATTACTAAGATTGTAGAAATTCGGTGTTAAAGTAAAGTTGGAAGTATGACGACAAACATTAGATAGCAAGGGTCTCAGACTGAGTCGAAGCAAGACTGGGTATATGGAGTGCAAGTTCCGTGGAGGTAGAAGTAGTAGCAACAGTGGGATTACTCTTGATGGTAAGGAGATACCGGTGTGTGATATGTTTCGTTACTTGGGTTCCATAATTCAGAAGGATGGTGAATTAGATGGAGATGTGTGCCATAGAATCAGAGCTGGGTGGATGAAATGGAAGAGTGCTTCAGGATTTCTATGCGATCGAGGTATGCCAACTAGACTGAAAGGTAAATTTTATCGTACAGTAGTTAGGTCGGCATTAATGTATGGCGTATAGTGTTCGGCGGTGAAGCAATGCCACATTCAAAAGATGAGTGTGGCAGAGATGCATATGTTGCGTTGGATGAGTGGACATACCAGAAAAGATCGCTTGAGGAATTGGATGAGGTAATCAGACAAAAGGTGGGAGTAGCACCTATAGAAGATAAGATGCAGGTGTCTCGTTTGCGGTGCTTTGGGCATGTGCGTAGAAGACCGATTGATGCACCTGTTAGACGACTTGAGGGGTGGGGAGAAGAGGCAGAGAAAAGAGGGAGGGGAAGACCCAAACAGACTTTGATTAGAGGGATCAGAACTGATATGCATCTTCTTGGGTTGGATGAGAGTATGACTTTGTAGAGAGCAAAGTGGAGGGCGCACATCCGTGTGGACGATTCATGTCTTGTCTACCTTTCCTCTTTTTTTTCTTTTATCGTTTATCTTCCTTATGTTTTTATATTCTTATGTTATTTTTATCTTTTAGCTTTTTTATGCTCTTTTATTTTTTATCTTTTATCTCTCTTATATTCTTGTGTTATTGTTATCTTATATTTATTTATCTTTATTTTATTCTGATGGATAGTGTACCCGGGGGGTAGCTTATCTGAGGGGTTATTACGACGAATAACTTAGGGAGAAGTCAGATCAATAAGTAAGAGAGAGAGTATGTATTCGAATATAGAATTGTGTGTCCATTACAATGGAAAACGGCTGTTATTTATAGTAGTCATAAATGCTAGGCGGGGACACGTGTCAAACATCTTACGGCTAAGGGTCACCTCAATCGGGGTGGCACCGGCATTTACATGTGTGTCACATTAAATGCGATGGTTGGACGTGACACCGCATTGAATGCAGTGGTTGGCCGTCTCAAAAAGGAATCTTCGTCGATAGTGCTGTGGCCGAAGGCATGACGTAGCCGAAGGCTGCACCATATAGCCGAAGGCATCGTATAGTTGAGGGCATGACGTAGCCGAAGGCTAACATTTTAGCCAGAATTTCCCAGAAGCTTTGCAGGTCCACGTCAAGTTGTCTCCTATAATTTGGGGCCCTCGGCCAATGACCGAAGGCTCCACGTGTGCACTGTGGGCTTCTTTATGCTTGGGCTGGTATGTTTGGACTTTGTGTGCTCATCGGGCTTGATGGGCCTGTGTAGGAATGCTTGTTTTTCTTTTTTTATCTTAATTTTATCTTAATTTTTTTTCTTCCCTTTCTTGTTCGTCTCCTCCTTTTGGCATCGATATCATAGATCGATTCATGTTGGCCGACCCCAAATTCTTTTGGGATTAAGGCTTAGATGTTGTTGTTGTTGTTGTTGTTGTAAGATTGTAGAAATATATATGAGGTAATTCTTGAACAACAATTACAGCAGATTTATCTAATATAGTTATACAGATAAAACGTTTTGGGGAAAATACGGTTACAAATATTGCAAATACACGCGTGAAGAATGTGTAGATGTTACTCCCTCTGTTCCACTATCAATGGTAGACGAGGGAGTGACACACGAACTAATAAAAGTAAGTTTATGTGGTTGATATTGATCGAATATAATTGATAAAGTAAGAATAACTTAGGAATGATTTAGAACCACACAACTTTTACTAAATTAGATATGAGGCAATCTTAGTGAGACTGAAATCTTAGTTTGGTAATACTCAAATCGGATGTATTGGCTGGTTCGGGTGAAATTTATGAGGTTCTGGTTGAAGTGACTGATTCTGCTGATGATTTAAGAAAAAATTATATTTAAAATACATTTTATTAATAAAATTAAGAAAAAACTATATGAAAAACAGTCAAAATGGACATCTACAGTAACTTCAGTTAATACAGCCAAAAAAGTAACTCTAACATTATTTTTCTTATTATTATAAAATTTAGCGCACGAAATCAAAAGTTTGTTCGATGAAAAAGTTAGATCAGGAGCCTGGCGAAAAAGAGAATCCCAAAATATAAGTTGATTTTTTTTGACCGAATATAAGTTGAATTGTCTAATGTAATGATTTATTTGGAAATGGAAATAGGAAAGTGCAGCTCACTGTCGTAAAGATAGCTAGGATTTTGAAGGAAGTTTGACTTGCGAATCGAAGTATTTGACACGGAACGGATTCTCTAACAGCTATTTTCTATTATAGTATATTTCTCCTATTTTAGTTTATACCATGTATAGCTTTTCATTTATTGTTGATTTGTTTCCTAGAATAAGGTTACCGTTATTGTCTCATGTACTTGTATAAATACCCATTTATATGTTAATACAATAATTAATTCCCATTCTCAAAATCTCCTACATGGTATCAGAGTTTTTTTTGCTTCCTAATTCTTCTACGACACTTTCTTTCCCTTTTTTATTCTTCTTCCCTTGACTCCCATGGCTGGGGATGCCTCTTCTTCAGAAGATGAAGTTGATCCAGCCAACTCTCTTCATTCCCCCACTTCTGAACCACCCTTGAACTATAATATGGAGAGTCCATATTACTTGCTCTCTTCAGATAACCCCGGCGTCTCCCTCGTCGGCAGCCCTCTCACCGGACTAGACAACTACTCTTCATGGGCGCTTGCTATGACTATGGCTCTCAAAGGCCGAAATAAATTTTGTTTTGTTGATGGATCGTTGCCGGTTCCTCCATCGGATCATCGGGACCATGCTCGTTGGCAGCGCATTAATAACATGGTTATGTCCTGGATTTTACACTCCGTTCACTCCTCTCTTGCACCTACGGTTCTCTATGCCCCAGACGCCTCCACCGTTTGGTCTGATTTCAAAGATCGGTACTCTACTGCCAATGGCCCCCGGATTTACGAACTCGAGCGCTCTATTGCTACTCTTCATCAACGGGATGATTCTATCCCCGTCTACCACAATAAACTATCCGGTTTATGGGAAGAACTTAATCTTCTTGACCCTCCGCCACAGTGTACTTGTTCTGCCCGGACAGCATATATCACTCAAATTGAACGACGCCGTTTGATGCAATTTTTGATGGGGCTTCGGGATACTTATGCACCCTCACGCAGCCAGCTTCTCCTTAACACCACACTGCCCTCTGTCAAGCGTGCATACTCCCTTTTGCTTCAGGATGAAGCCCAACGCATCCATGCCCCGGTTATGTCTTCCATGGAACATGCAGCCTTCAACACTACTGTCCCAGGTTCTCTACCAGGTTTGCTGCCTTTGCCGTCCTCTTCTCAGCCCGCTGCTTACATAGCTCATCAAAACGGAGGCCCAAAGCAGTTCGTGACAGGTTCCTCTAAACACAAATGCTCTCACTGTGGTCTTCTTGGTCACACTCAGCAGGTTTGTTACCGCCTTCATGGTTATCCTCCTGGTCATAAATTTTACCGCAAGGGTAATTCACATGGTTCTTCCAATCCCGCTGCTACTGTCGGTAATGATCCTATACAAAAATTACTTCGTTTGCTTCAAGATTCTAAGGAACCTAAAGCTAATATGATTGGTACGCCCCTTGCTTTGTCTTCTACTTCCCTTTTTAAATCTCATGAATGGATTATTGATACCGGTGCTACGGATCATGTTTGTTTCAATTTGGATTTATTCTCTAAATGTCCAGTTCCCCCACCCTCCAATTTTAATATTTCAGTCCCTAACGGGACCTCCATTCCTGTCCATGGCATTGGCGGCATCCACTTATCCCCTACTTTACATCTAGATAATGTCTTGTACATCCCTACTTTCAAATTTAATTTATTATCTGTTCGTAAATTATCTCAACAATCCAATTGTGTTGTGTTTTTTTATCCTAACTATTGCATTTTTCAGGACCTTTCGACGAAGAAGGAGATTGGTCGGGGCCATGAACGTGGTGGATTATATGTGTTTACTAATAATGTTATTTCCTCTACTGTTTTAGCTATTTCCTCCGAGACATGGCATTCTCGTTTTGGACACCCCTCTCCCAATGTTTTTAAACATTTAGTTCCCTTTTTGGGATGCTCTCCTTATAATAATATTTGTCAGACTTGTCATTTTTCTAAGCAAACTCGTTTGCCTTTTCCTTTACACCGTACTAGTACTACTACTTGTTTTGAATTAATTCATGTTGACATTTGGGGAAAATATTCTACCCCTACTCGTGATAATCATTCTTATTTCCTTACTATTGTTGATGACTATTCTAGGATTACTTGGACTTACTTGATGCATTTTAAGTCTGATGCTTACTTACTTCTTGTACATTTTCTTAATTATGTTAAAAATCAGTTTCATACTTGTGTCAAAACTTTCCGTTCCGATAATGGCTTGGAATTCACTCAACCAATTTTTCAAAATTTTCTTCTTCAAAATGGCATTCTTAGCCAAACGAGTTGTCCTGGCACTCCCCAACAAAATGGGGTTGTTGAACGTAAGCACCGCCATCTCCTCAATGTGGCTCGGGCCTTACGTTTTCAAGGTGGGCTTCCTCTCAAATTTTGGGGTGATTGCCTTCTCACCGCCACTTACCTTATTAATCGCACCCCCACCTCTCTTTTACACAATAAAACTCCGTATGAAGTTCTTTTTGGCAAAACTCCTATTTTTCGTCATTTACGATCTTTTGGTTGTCTTTGTTATGCCTCCACCATTCATTACCATCCCGATAAGTTCTCTCCTCGTGCTCGGCGTTGCATTTTTTTAGGCTACCCGCATGGTCAAAAGGCGTATCGCCTTTATGACCTTGATAGTCACAAAATTTTTAATAGTCGTGATGTCATTTTTTATGAACACATATTTCCTTTTCGTGACAATCACGCCCACCCTAAATCTTCCTCGACTGTACTTCCTCTCCCTATACCGGACCCCATGGTCCCACCTGCCAATGACCCTTCCCCTTGTCAACCATCTCCTTCCCAACCATTATCCGCCACACACTTAGACCATTCTCCCCCACCTCACTTCCCGCCCAGCAGGCCTGCCTCCATTCTTCCTCCACCACATGACTTAGGCACACTTTCCACTCAGCCCTCCCATGATCATCCACCCCCACATCCACAAATTGAACCCAACAGTTCCCCTCCACAAGTATCTAGCCCGCCAATTCTCCGCCGCTCACAACGTATTTCCAAACCGCCACAGTATCTTCATGACTATACATGCGGCCTTACTACTCTTACCTCTACTGGAACCCCATATTCCCTTCAGTCTTCCCTCCACACCGCCCAATATTCCCCACAACACCTTCTTTTTATAAATAATATTACTAAAGGTATAGAACCCACCTCCTACTCCATTGCCCGCAAAGACCCTCTATGGCGTCAAGCCATGGCCTCTGAACTTCAAGCTCTTGATGCTAACCACACCTGGGATCTCACCCCTTTACCTCCTCACAAAAAAGCTATTGGTTGTCGTTGGGTTTATAAAATTAAGTATCACCCTGATGGTTCTATTGATAGATATAAAGCTCGCCTTGTTGCCAAAGGTTATTCCCAACTTGAGGGACTTGATTACACTGAGGTTTTTGCCCCCGTTGCAAAGCTTACCACTGTTCGTACCGTTTTAAGCTTAGCCGCTGTTAAACATTGGCCCACTCACCAACTTGACGTATCCAATGCCTTTCTTCATGGTGATTTGCATGAAGATGTCTATATGACTCTTCCCCCGGGATATGGCAGAAAGGGGGAGACTCGTGTTTGCCACTTACGCAAATCCTTATATGGCCTTAAACAAGCCTCTCGTTCTTGGTTTTCTACTTTTTCTCATGTTCTTTCGTGTGCTGGTTTTTGTCAATCTAAGGCTGATTATTCTATGTTTACTTACACTCGTGGTTCCTATCTCACTATTTTACTTGTCTATGTTGATGATATTATTATTACTGGTGCTGATCCATTTATTATTCCTCTTCTTAAGCATTATCTTTCTCAGCATTTTCAGCTCAAAGATCTTGGTCCACTAAAGTACTTCTTAGGTATCGAGGTTGCCCGATCCAAACGTGGCATCTTTCTCAACCAACGAAAGTACACACTTGAAATCCTCTCAGACACCGGTCTACTCGGATGCAAACCTGCACCCACACCGATGGATCCAGACGTTCACCTTGCCTCCTCCTCTGGCACTCCTTTATCGGACCCTGCTCCATATCGACGTCTTGTTGGACGTTTGCTATATCTCACGGTCACCCGCCCGGATATTACTTTTTCAGTCAATCTATTATCTCAATTCATGTCTTCTCCGCAGGATACCCATTGGAATGCGGCTCTCCATGTGGTTCGTTATCTCAAAGCCGCACCTGATCTTGGCATTCTTCTCTCCTCTGACAGCTCCTTACGCCTTCACGCTTATTGTGATGCTGATTGGGCATCTTGTCCTATGACTCGTCGGTCCACTACTGGTTATTGCACTTTTCTTGGGACAAGTCCCCTCTCTTGGCGCACTAAAAAACAACCAACTGTCTCTCGCTCTTCTGCCGAAGCTGAATATCGTGCTATGGCCTCTGCAGCTAGTGAAATTACTTGGCTTCAGTTACTACTACATGAATTACATATTTCACCTCATCCTGCTCGCCTCCATTGTGATAACCAAGCCTCTCTACACATCGCCAACAACCCTGTTTTTCATGAACGTACGAAGCATGTTGAAATTGATTGTCATTTTGTCCGCGAACGTGTCCAAAATGGCACTCTCCTCACTTCATTTGTGCCTTCAGACCTACAATTGGCGGACATCTTCACCAAAAGTCTAAAACCTCCTTGTTTCCGCTCCATTACTTCCAAGCTCATGACTCGACCTTGAGCTTGAGGGGGAGTCTAACAGCTATTTTCTATTATAGTATATTTCTCCTATTTTAGTTTATACCATGTATAGCTTTTCATTTATTGTTGATTTGTTTCCTAGAATAAGGTTACCGTTATTGTCTCATGTACTTGTATAAATACCCATTTATATGTTAATACAATAATTAATTCCCATTCTCAAAATCTCCTACAGATTCCCACCCTCAAATCATTCAATCATCATCTTATTCCTATTCCTAGCTACAGTACGTACGTATATAATACTACGATCATCCTATAATATAAACCTCTCAATCGATCATCCGCAACGTACAAATCTGCCTCGCTCTCATCTTCCTTCGGATCATCCGCAGCCTTAGTAGATCGATATGATGGGTTGTTCGAGGACTGGTAGACCATATCCATTACTTCTCTTCATCATTCTCCTCACTTCTTTCATCTCCTCAATACAAAGCAGGCCACCGCCGCCGCCGCTTCATCAAGAAGCCAAGACATCAGCGCCGCCGCTAATGTTCAAGAATGTATTTGCTAAAGGACAAGTGCCGGCTTCTTCCCCCAGCAAGAAAGGCCATGCCGACGCCGTCGATCAACAGCTCATCTCCCGCCTTCTCACCTCTATTCCCTCGCCCGGAACAGGGAATTAATGATTTATAATTACGTATTTTTTCCAGCTTAGATTTTACTTTTTTTCCCCTTTTATTCTTTAACTCAAATTTTGGCATGGATTCTTTACTTTGTCGGCCGGCCGGCCGGCCGGGTGGTTACGTTAATTAGATTATAAGATTAAGATCACAAAAACACACACACCTATACACATATTCGTACGTACTTATACATATACAGATCATGAAATTGTATAGCCAGCTGCTAGAAATTACAACGTGTTCTTAGCATTTTTTCAATGTACCGATGAGATTATGTACATTCAATCTACAGACAAACATTATGGGAAATTTCCCGAAATGGGAATAAAAAAGTTTGAAAATTTCAAAATAGGAGTACTCTCATGTTTTTATTTTCAAAATAGGAGTAATTACTGTCATGTTTGGAAAATACTGTCATGTTTAAAGTCTGGTTCTGCCAGAACATGACAGTAATTAGTCTTATTTTGAAAATAAAAATATGATACTCCTGTTTTGAAATATACAAGTGGTTTTAGTCCTATGTTGAGCAATTTCTCTAAACATTATATATTGAGCTCAAATAGATGGACATTACGTCGGCGTAATACTACGTTTGTATATACGTATATTGTATGATGATGATTATTATGTACAATGACATTAATTATTTCAATAGTACGTACGTGTATGGGATTCGCGAGTGTTCAAATCCGATGGAGTCTTAACTAAACGTTCAAATGGACCATGTGTGTTGAAAGGTACAGAGCATTATATTTCTTCGCCCACAATATATTAATATACATATCTCCTTAATTCACCAAGAAACACGGTGTTCTACGCACAGAAAACCTTCAATTATATGTCTTCCAAGACTCGCGCCGGACTTGTTGCTTATCGTGGACTTATATCTATATTATTTTAGAGCTATATAATTCTAGGAGTAATTTGAGTTGCATACCATTTTGTTGTTCAAATTGGATTTTGCATCTTATTTTTAAAACTTCTGTATTTACACCCCAACCCCTTATGGAAAGACAAATGTACCCCTCCATTTACAATTCGGTTAGCCTTCAACACATTCCTGTCTAAGGGCATTTTTGTCTTTTCACCTGGTGTCTCAATTACTGCAGGCCACGTATTTCACATATTTTGGTCGTCAAGCGCACTTTCAGGTATTTATAGGGCCCTTTACTCATGTACAGTCTCTTCCCTCATCAAGGCTTCTTGTGAACTATTGCATACTCTGATGTTGATTGGGTTGGATGTTTGTAGTAGTAATCTTTATACATACAAAGAGCTGTGGAACTGCAGGCCATTCTCCCGTCCATTCCACTGGATGAGAATGGGTCAAGTCGGGTTAAAAACGGGCGAACAGCTCAACTGAAGAAAACATTTAATGTTTGTTTCAAAAGTTTTCCAAGCATTAAATGCAAAGTAGAATACGGCTGAAGAGACTTTTGGCAGCAGTCCTATATATCTCATTATATAAAAAAGGATTTTAGATGTGATCTTTGTACATAAGCATTTAATGTATTGCAACTCAGGCACACTTCATGAGGTAATATTATCGTTGTCCATCTTATCAAATCTTTTAACTATTAAATGAATTGCTTTGGTCGATGTTATTTCTTCAATAAAGATTTGATGGGTTTTAATTGAAATTCGGCTGTGATCTTGAAGGTACAGTGATATTAATTAGTTTACAACTACTAAA